TAAAGTGAAGTAAAGTAAAGTAAAGTAAAGTAAAGTAAAGTAAAGTAAAGTAAAGTAAAGTAAAGTAAAGTAAAATAAAATAAAGTAAAGTAATTAAAGTAAAGTTAAGTAAAGTAAAGTAAAGTAAAGTAAAGTAAAGTAAAGTAAAGTAAAGTAAATAAAGTAAAGTAAAGTAAAGCTAAAATATAAGGTCAACGGATGAATATTACCTGTATGGTGAAACGAACAAACCCCAGGTTCAACACTCTGGTGTCGGCAGTTGTGTTTTCTGCCTTGTACCACATGGCGCTGGATAGCATCATGGTGTTCAGTAGAGTAAAGCAGCAGGACAGACGCTGGGCCTTGGTAAAGATTGAACCTACTCCGGAAAGAAACAAAAAATAAAAGGAAAGTGTTATGCATGTTTAAAAAATTGCTTTTTTTGTGTGAAATACATTAAGTTAAAATTATTGTTCCGATTTAAGCACCACTGTCACATTATCATTTCATATGGATATTTCTATTTATTTGAATAAACATACATTTTATGTTAAAATGTATCTATTAACATTTGTTTTAAAACGGCTTTTAGTAAGGCCATGTTGATTTGATTATATGGATGACATCCACGCGCGCATGAATTTTCGGCCGTTTCCAAAAAAAAAAGTTTTCAACCATACTGTAAATCGTACAAAACAGTTGCAAAATGAGCAAAAATATACCATAAGTTACAAAAAAAATTAATAAAAACTATACCAATGTCGTAGAATGCCAAAATCAAACGAAAGAAGACGAAATTGTAAAGAAATGAACTTGAAGACTAGATTATTCGCCAAACCATATTCTGTGCCATTTGCTCAACCCTCATGACCACGTAGATTTCATAATGAAAAGAACTTTTTTTTTCAAAACTTTTTTTTTTATTCGCACGCGCGCATCAGTTTTGGGGCTCCCGGAGGATGTCATCCATATAATCAAATCAACATGGCCTAAAGGTATTGTGGTCTTCACCCTATGTGGCATGCCACATCTGGTACAAATTCTGTAGAACCTGGGTTCGCCTCGTGTCTGGACACGAGTTTAAAACAGTAGCATCTTCCTTACGTATATATGGGAGTGTAAGGCCGGCGGTTTAACATATTTTGGAACTAACGGGCAACAAGAAGAGAGGCCCGGGTATGTTTGACTACCTTCCAATTCGAGCAATAAAGAAGCTGCTTTGCACCAGTAGCTACTTGAGAAAGAGTCATGGTTCACATCAATTGAAGATGACAAAAGAAGAAGAAGCTTACCCGGTGCTGCTACAAGGGCAGACGTCCAGAGCTGTTTATCGTAGAACACGTCTCTGGTTGCCTCATTGAAGACATTGGTAAAGGATGTCAGATCCTCTTCGGTGCTTGCGTGAACCACCTTCTGTACTTCGCCGCCCCCCTTTTCTCTTGATAACCAGTCATTGCAGGTGAAATACGATCTGAAAAAAGATAACGTTGAATTGATTTATTTGTATATCAATGGTGTCATGCTACATTTCCTTTCCATGACAGAAGAATAGTAGTAGCTGATAAAACAAACATGCCAGTTCGTTTTCATTCATGAAGCAAATAATCAGTCAAACTAACTCGCGTTGTTGTTTACAATTAAAGAGGAATTGTTAAGTTTTAAAACAAGCACTGGTCTTCCAAGGCACATTGCATTCCACAAACCCAACATGCCAAGATAGGAGGAAAGGCGGACTTCAGAATTGCCTTTAGTGTAAAGAAGAAACCAAACTGGCAGAACAACTTAAATAAAGATTTGTCGGTTTGTATATGTCTTTTTGCGTCTTACACCACGTCGGTTTCTATATCTCTGACGACAAAACTTCCGAGGAACCAGGATGCCGTGTCTCCTTTCCCAGAGTTATCATGCCAGATGCGCAACAACAGCACTTCTCCAAGTGACTCTCGCACAGGCATGACAAAATGTAAAGTGCTTCCGCGCACCAAAGCCTGTAATTATCAACAGTAAATGACATGATTTTGTTTTCCTTTCTTCTATTTCTCCCTTGCATTAAATTTAAATAATTTCAAGAATGTCAAGAATTTTGCTCAGAGATTCCCTGAAACCAACAAATGATAACCAATATAGTATTGTTAATTTTGTTGTAGGCCTAAGATACCTAGAATATACATTTTGTAAAAACAAATGCATGTAACTTATACATCACTTTTCATGTATACATCACATAGGCCTACAAGACATTAACTAATCAAATCAATAAGAAATATAGTAGAGATGGTTTGGCATTCTATCATAAGTTATTATCATTAATAGTGCATGGATGACATGACGTTGCACCCTACCCATATTTGTCAACATAAAAACAAAAGTCAGGAACATATAAATGTGACACAAATGTAATTAGATAATGAACACTTTAGCCCATGTATAAATGTAATTTATGGTGCAAATAAGTGGTAATGGTACTAATCAAGATTAGGAGAAAATCATGAATACTGAGAATGCATATATAACACAGACCTCTCTGTTGGGGTTCAGCATCTTGACTGGAGATGTGGCCTCTGA